TGTGTGTGTGTGTGTGTGTGTGTGTGTGTGTGTGTGTGTGAGAGAGAGAGAGAGAGAGAGATCTAGTATACACACCTAACTTGTCAGGACCAGTGGTTCATATGGAGACCAAAGACTGTTCCGGTCCTAATATGGTGAAACTCCATTTTTTAACGGTCCCAACAAGGGCAGAGATACAAACTCGTGCGTGTTACAAATAATTTTCGCATTTGAATTCACAATTTGTCAAAGTATAATCTGTTGAACTACATTCTTTGCAGACATGTTTTCCTGGTGTGTGTGTGTGTGTGTGTGTGGTGACTGACGGTGACTAACAACACTTAATGCTGATGATTAACAATGTGTCACTCTTTTATGGGCTAGTTTAGTATTTTTGTGGCAGAACTTTGCAATTTTGGTTTGAACCCGAGTTACAATGACAACAGTCGAAGCATAAATGAACCATTTTTGTGTGATAAAATGGTTCATTTATGCTTCGACTGTTGTCATTTCATCACACYAATGTGTAGAAACACCGGATTCTGAGCAAAATTCACTGAATTTTAACCAATATTTGGTTTTWATGGTCAGATGAACTGAGTTGACTCCAAAACGTTGAGCTGTTGATCTTCATCCAATCATTTAATTAATTTATTCGATGCTTCATGAGTTGTTTTTGCTAACAGACATGACCACACAGACGGAATAACTCTTTTCTTTTAAATCAAGTCAACTGTTTCCTGTTTTAAGAGAAAGTAAAAACCAGAAATGCTCTTTTCTGTCAGCTGTCTCTCACAGAGAGACGTGTAAAAATGTCCACGCTGTTACCGCTGAGATTTCTTTATTCACAGGAAGCTCGAGCACGAGGGAGTCGCTCCGCTTTTGATGTTGAAAATGTGTGTGTCGAAACATCCTTTGTGCTCGCGACAGAACGACGTGAGCGAAGCTACAAGTTGGTTTCCGAGCTGCACGAGGAGTAAAACCAACGCGGCGGGTTGCTGGATCGCAGGCTCCCAGCGTGCGTGTGTACGTGCGCACGCATCGGCTCGGATGCGTGTGTGACGGCGCGCGCTGAAGTAGCCGTTAAAAATGCTAATTTGCCGCGGCGTTCATATTCCCATACGGAGCCTCATGCTGTTTGCATGGTAAATAAGCACGCTGATTATTCCACGTACAATATGTTTTCATGAGAAATGCATGCGTGCGTGCAGGCAGGGAGGCTGCTTGTTGGCAGATGAACTGTAAAAGCTCTGAGGTCTTTGTATCGGCCCACATCTGACGTTAACCGCAGCTTGAAATGTTAATCTGGGATTTTGGATACAAACACATGAACAATAAACTAGAGTATTTGTTTTTAAAATAGATGGCTGTTTTTAGATTCTTTTATTTAAATTTGTCATTTATAAAGATGCTGCACACTTTCTGCACACAGCTAACGAAGTTCTAACAGTCAAATTGGTTTGTTGTGTTTGTGATAAAACTGTTTACCTGGAGAAAAAAAAAAGATTTAGGACATGATGTAAATGAGATTAGAGCTGCGTGATAATTACATCGCAATAAACACATGGTTATTAACTGCTAATGGTTAGAAACCTTCTGATAAAATAAGCTAGGACCTTTCAGGAAAGATTCACCTTCAAAATAAAAGCATCAAGCTGTTAATATAAAGAAATTATTGGGGTTTATGTAATACACTGATTGTAATTACACTACACATAGTATAGTTTGTTGTATGATAGAACTGTAATGACTGATAAATGTGATTTATAATTAACTTGATGATTCTATATTAATAGGTACATGCCTGGTAACAAAGACAACACATATTTGTGTTTTTAAAGTCATTAGGATAGGTTTTTAATTGTTTATGGRCATGGCTTTGACCAAAATGGTAGAGACCCCCTCCCGACTGATGACATAATTAATATAGGTGGAGTCATGCCCTGAAGCTGATGATAAAACTCTTGGGACTTCCCAGTTCAGTCTGATTTCCTAGTYCTGCGTTAAACCGGTTATCAGCGAGAGCTCTCGGTTCTGTAATGGTCTACTRTCACACTCACATTACATTTGCACATTTCTCAATACGATTTRGCACGCATCCTGGTAACGAACACGAATAACGTCTATTTCTTTCAAATAGATAACAAATGCCCGCTAAAATAAAATAATCGCTCGCGCTTTATTTTGAAATGTGTAACCTGGGATTTTTTTTCTCCCTCTTGTCGGCACATTCGAGCGATAGAGCGCTAGCTTTCTGGACTGGTCCGCCATCGTAAGGCTAATATGAAATTAATTCTTAATTTAAAGGCACAGTGTGTAGGATTTTGTCAAGTCTTTTAGCCGAAATTGAGATAATCKCTAATGACAATAATTTAAAAAACATGTCTAATCATTGCAGACAAAGACCTTGTTTTATTATTTTTACCTTATAAAAAGCTGTTTATATCTCCATGGTCGCGGGTCACCACTACAGGCAGCCGCCATCTTGCACCGCCATCTTGTCTACAAAGGCTCATGAAGGACAAACTGCGGTGGCGGCGTCAAAAACGTTTTTAGTTGTAATACTGTAAATGTAATATTTGTTGTCTGTCATTGTAGCTGGGATAATTTTACTTATTAAAGCTCATAATCTTACCACTTGAAACATCACTAGCCCTGAAGCTGCTGGTAGACATCGCGGTTGGAATTATCAAAGGTTTTTGACACCTGAGAGACACCGTAGCAACTCCTTTGTGTTTGGAAGCGGGGGGTGGGGGTGGGGGGAGGACCAGGGAGGATGATTCAACCACTCAATCACTAGATGTCGCTGAAAACAACAAAACACACTGTGCCTTTAAGAAGCTGCTACACTGAAATGAAGTATAAACTGAAGAGGAGGTCAATGCGACGCCCCAACAGCTAAAAGCCTGCAGCTAAACAAGGTAAGCTAGCAAAAAAAAGCAGTAATTTCATGTTTAGCCTCATAACTGCTTAAAAATAAAGAACGGKATGGAGTGTAAGGAGAAAWTTGTGGATAAAAGAGGAACGGTCACAAGTTTGGTAGTATTTCAGATATTTAAAGTTTTTCGAGAGTCAGACCGATGTGTAAAACTGTTATTGATTTTGACTGATATGAAACATTTATATTGTGATACATTTTTTTGGCCATATCCCCTAGCCCTAAGTGAGATATATAATTTTTAATCCTTCAGTTGGAGTCTGTATAAAGTGGAACTGCAGTGCTTTGGTCTGAATTCCTCCTCAATGTCCCCGCCCCTTTTCTGAAGTGTGTCTCMGATCAACTCATTTTAAGGCTGTCTCTTTAAATTCAAATAATTGTGCTTTACACCCCGCCCCCTTTCATCTTCCAGAACGGTCCAGTTTGATGGAGGGGTTTACAACTATATAGCTGCGCATAAACATTTTTATTTACAAATTAATTAAAAGATGTCAAGAAGGGAAGACTTGTCCGTCCAGCCTGACATGTTGGAGCCTACAAATTCACAACAAAATGCATTTACCACAGGGTGTCCGCAGGTCCTTAAAAAGCCTTAAATTCACATATCTAAAATTAAGACCTTAAAAAGTCTTAAATTTGTTTTAAAATGTGCAGATTGGTCTTAAGTTTGTTACTCAAAGGTCTTAAATTTTGTTGGGCAGAAGCAGTTAAAGTTCTCCGTCTCCCTCGGCCATTTCTGTAGAACCATCACTTATATTTTCGATCTTAAGATGGTTTTAAAAAGGTTTTAAAAAGGCCTAAATTCACATATCTAAAATTAAGACCTTAAAAAGACTTAAATTAGTTGAAAAATATGCAAGTTGGTCTTAAATTTGTTCCTCAAAGGTCTTAAATTTTGTCAGGCAGAAGCGATTAAAGTTCAGTGTCTGCCCCGGCCGTCTCTGCAGAACCATCGCTTAAATTTTTGGTCTGAAATTTCAAGATGGTATTAAAAAGGTCTTAAAAAGTCTTAAATTTGACTTGCTAATACCTGAAGATACCCTGTTACCAGCTAAAAAAGTAGATTTTGAATGACATTACCCCTCTTTAAAAGAGAGGAGAATCTGGTGCCATTAAGTCATCGAGTCCCAAAGCCAGCTGATGACTTGAGGAGCTCGGTGGATTTGTGATGACGGGAATTCATTGATGCTGCGAGGCGAGCCGTGGACAAAGCAGAGGATTATGGGTCTAACTGTGGGATAAAAAAAAGAGTGTGTTTTGTATTGACCGCTGTAAAGATTGCAGTTCCCGCAGCAACTACATAACAAACGCTAATCTGGAGATGGCAACAACAAGCTTATAAGATGACCTGAAACTGACACACACAAACACACACACACACACACACACACACACACAAACACACACAGGTGGTTTGCTGCTTCGCTGTTTTCCTCTCATCCACAGCCATCTGCCTCTAACATTAATGATAATAAGATCACATAGGATTTCATATTGTTATTGGATTATCTAAAGGTCACCACAGGGTCACCATGCCACATCCATTTCTTGTTCATTATGTAACGACTTCCCAAATCCCCYCAGCTGATACGCAACGTCGCCTTGTGTTTACATTCTTTTATTATCTGCCAAGAATCCAAGAGGCTGTCCAGAGATAAAAACACATACAATAATGTAGCGCAGCCAAATGTCTACAGATTCTTATAAATCTTGTTTTTCATATAGAGTATTGTTCACCAGGGTGGGACTGGGGGATTTCTGAAACAAATGCACGCATGTTTTGTTTTGTTTTTGTTTTTTTGTGTCCGCAGTGTTATAAAGGTCAGATAAGGATGGAGACAGGATTACAGAGATAAGCAAAGACTATCACTCATGAGCTAATGAAGACCACAGGCTTCCTCCCATCAGTGTTAAAAACACAACACTTGTTTTATTATTCAAATTGCAAATCTTTTTTTTATTTAAAATACAGTAGTTAAGAGAAAAACAACAAACGTGCTGATTTATTTGTTTACGTTAGCATCAGATAAATTAGGTTTTTCTTAAGAGTTTTGTGATGAGAGAGAGAAATAGTTTTTTATGCACGCAGCATTAACAGAAACCCGGATTAAATGGCGCTTCACCACAAAAACAACTCAGACTTCCTGTCTGGCCTCGTCTTCTCCCAGAGATCGCTGCCAAACACAGTGTCGGGTCCTGCGTGGCAGCGGCTGCTGTCGTCCTCTTCCTGCCCGACTCTAAATGCTTTGAACAACACAGGAAGCAAAACCTGCTGATTTAACACTTCAGACCTCAAATTTTGCAATTATTGTTTTTTTGATGCTGATTTTATTAGTTTCTCTTTTAAACAATGTGGTTGAAAATATACAAAAACAAACAATCGGCAAGTTAACGGTTTATGTTTTATGGCTCTTTTTGAAGAGCTGCCAGCTGAAGGCTTTTCCCAAACACAGAATAACAAGTTGCAGAGCTGTTCGTAGCCACGCCCACCTGACACAGCTCTCACCCGGAGCCGCAGACGTCTTATTTCAGCCAAGACACTGTTGGAGGAATTTTTGTGGTTTTTAAAGCTTTGGAGGCTTGTTTCCATCACTGCTAGTGTGTTGTGTGTGTGTGTGTTTTTTTTAATCTGGCTGAAAAGCCACAGCTGGACCTCCACGCCACATCTTCCTGACCTACATCCATCCCTGCCCTGTTTCTCCTCCCCTCCCTTCTGCTTTCCTGTCCGCGAGGGGAACGAGTTCACGCTGCGACCACGAGACAATACCTCATACCTCCATCTGAATCACAGCCTATAAAAGAAAAAAAATAGTGGAAAACATCTCCTTATCCGCTCCAAAACAAACGTCTCTTTTATGAGTGTGTGTCTGAATTTACAAACGTGACCTCTGGTGCTCTGATAAATTCCCGCTAGCTTGTTGTCAGTCGTTTCCCCTGAAGTGAGGATATCTGCTAAAGGAATGTACRGCGTCTCAGGTGGTCTCTGATTGCTGCTGGGAAATGTTGAACTCATGCACTGATCAGTCAGGCTCCTGTCTGACTAAATTAAAGGTTAAGTGGGTGCCTTAATAACAGATCAGCTGAAATAACTGACTGTTTTTATTGATAAACAGCTCGATTGTTCAGACAGAATCAGTTGGAAAAAATGAGAAGCGGCTGATGAGTCAAACCTGAGCCGTTCATAAAGTATCTGAGCTGGGAAACGTGTTTGTTTCCTGGACTTACATATTCCCGTTTCTTTAATTTCACATCATTTTCTAACTCGTGCTTTGGCTCTGTAATTAATCTGTGAGTAATATGTTCAGTAACAAGCTATGGCTCCACTAAACATGCTTGACATTGCAAACCAAGCAGCTTCTTTGTTTTCCTCTTCTTCACAATTCTTTCATAATAAATCACTATCAGCTTTATGTGCTGCTCTTTT